AAATGCCATGGTGCTGTCGGGTTCGGCCGCCTCATGCTCGAAACTAGCAGCGCGCCACACTGCGTACGCCGCCCAGCACAGCCCTCTCGCCGTGTCGTGTCTGCAGTCTTCGGGCCTCCCCCATCATCTCGCCGTCTCTTCCCTGGTTCAGATCACATCGCTCTCCGTCCCTTCTAGCAACCAACGCCGGCTGTTGCTCTGCTGCTTGCTAAGGTAACGACAACGGGGCCAATGCTTTCGACGGAATCCCTGTGCTGGGCTGCCCGTCAGCACTCAACTAAAGCCGCCCGACCGACAGCTGCAAGCTTGACTACCTTTCCTACCGCCCGCGGGCTCTCAGACAGGCGCATGAGCGTCTCCAATCCGTCTGTTGTTTCGATGTCTCAATGCACGGAGCTACCCTGCCAGATTTCCAACAAAACAGCCCATCCTGGCCTTTTCTGACTCTGCTCTCTTGTCCCTTCAGGGTCTCTTGAAGCCCTCCTTTCGAGCGGCCTCTGCAGAGTCGCTGTCAGTCTGCTCGACACACGGCCTTTCCGTCGCCTGTGGGCAGAAGTCGTCATTCGCCCAGCACGACCCATCAAAAAACCTAAATCGTCTACCGGATGATGTCTGTAGGTCCAGGACTGAGGGGCAGCAGTCCATCTTTACGAGAACCGCGGGTTCAGCCCGGCCAGACCCTCCATCGCGGCTAACCAAAACACGTCAAGACAGTTGAAACACCCAGTTCATGCACTCTGGGAGGTTTTGGAAGAAGACCGCTCCACCACGACGAGAGAAACGGTTGGAGCCTCACATGACAATTATTTTGGGATCAGGAACGAATCGACACCATACCACCCATCCTACCCATCCTACCCATCCCACCCCAATCAGCCCTTCTCTGCAACAAGGGCCAGGCCGCACCGTAGGGCGACCGCGGAACCCACTCCGAATGAAGGGCTCTCCAAGGAACGACTGCTGCAACCGCCGCTGCTTTGCAACGCCGTGCCTTGCTTGCGATGCCGTGCAGCTCCATCTGCGACCCTCCCTCGGGTTACTTCCTACTTGGCTGCGGGTGGCTATTGGCACTAGGCCCAACGCTCGCGCCTTCTGTTTCCCCTTCGCGTGGCTCTGAAAAGCAAAGTGCGAGCCTGTGTCACCACATTCACCTTGGCCCCGGACGTGAGGGGCCTTTGAGGCTTCAACGGTGCGTCTCACTCTCGGCCTGGGCTGTCCGGGATGCTGCCCGAATGGGCGGTTTTCTGCAGGAGGGTGGGATAGAGGCGTCGACGGTGGCTGATCATGGACGCCGGAGCCCTACTGAGGCGGCATAGTTGAGACTCAGCGCCCGCTTGAGTGAACGGGGAAATGGACTGTGCTTGCGACCGGCTCACCGGTACGCGGGCTCGTTCGATCATGCCTTTCAGCGACGCAGCAGCCGCCGAAGCCTGCATTGCAAGTTGCCGCGACGTCTGCCCCTCACCTCGTCTTGGTCTGCAACAACCGTTTGATCAGGCATTGGGACCCAATAGTACCCAGACGACAAAATGGCACGAGGGCCTCAGAAGGAAGCAGCAGTTCAAGTGACCAGGCGGCAGCGTCTAAGGGCTGGCCAAGATATCGCTATTGGCCATTGGGCTGAGGCTCTCGAGCCAGTCACCAACTCGGCATAGTCTATCGGGACAAATCTCCCGCCCATGCACCACATCGGCTTAACCCTCGTTAGTGGGAGTCGCAGTGGATCCGACCAAGAGCCGAAGCACCCCGGAAAATCCTTTTAGGGTGGTCCGCTGTCTCTATGAGATTCCCTCCGAAGCGGCAGCCCGCCCGACCGAGAGATGTCACCAATGATTGCGAATGCTCCCCACGCGAGTGAGGTGAAGATTGAGTCTTGCGAATGCGATCAAAGTTTCTTGGCCGCAGTCGATGCTGTTATTGCGCAACGGCCCGAATCCTGAGTTGCTTCGGCGGATAGCTTGGAGGGTGGCGGGCACGACGGGCTGCCAAGAACCATGATGCCATCAAGCAGATTCTGCACAGCTGGGGCTGGGGAGCGAGGGAGTCCCAGGCGAGGCATGCAAAGGCGAACACTCAAGAACTCAGTTTGGGGTTGACACTGCTCTGCGGGCAACATTTCCTGCTAACTCATTGCGACGGAACGAACCTGCACTCGAGTCTATGCCGAGTTAAGTCGCGCGTGTCGGTCGCCTCATTGAACGAGTCGTACAGCACGGTTGCTCTGCGCAACATGTGGACTTGCTGTGCAACGACGGGTTTGAGCAAGTGGGTACCCGGAGCGGGCGACCATCGGGGGAGGGGTAATAGAGCGGTCGGTGCGGCGGCCGAACGAGTCGACGTGTTGTTGGTGGAAAGCCCCGACATTTACTGCTTGCTTTTGCTGCTCAATTGTCCGGCTCGGCGATGGCGAAAAGAAGACAGCCTTGGAGAAGCGCATGTCTATTGTTTTGGAGCTAACGGAATTCGCAGGTGCAATTCAGCTCTGTCAGCCTGCCAAGCAACGAATCCTGGCAAGCTGGCCATGTTTACGCTCGCCAGGGGGGGAAACTGTTGATCAGGGCATGCGTTGCCGGTCGCTGATCTACATGTGTCATTGACAGGTGGCTGGAAGGTTTTGCGAGAGGGCAAGGTACCCTTTGGACAGAATTTGCAGCAAACAGGACTGAATGTTCCGCGTTGATCGATGCGGCTGAGGGGTTAGATGCAGATCATGGCATCTGGCATCTGCACTTGCGGTGTCTAAATATGCCTCGCATCGGCTCCGTGTGCAGGGCTTGCAACCGTTGATGTCAGCCGCAGTATATCTGTGACATGAACAGGCAATGATGCTGACTCTGCGCCTGGACAGGTGAGAGTTTACAGGTGAGGTCAAGACTGGCGTCGAGGTGACGATTTGGAAGGAAAGAAGCTTTGGGAGAGGTCTCAGAAGAATGTTGTCGATATGTGATGAACCAGTGTCGAAGGACCGAGAGGCTTAGCAAAGGCAGTCTAACGATGACAGACATGGCAATTAGGTAAGGATCGTCGGTGACGATGGGAATCGCATTTCGACCAGAGGCTCGGTGCTCGGGATGTTTCTTCTCTAAGGTTGGAATGATGGAGATTGAGTTTGGGACTTTTAGAGACGGCTACAGCTGCGAGGGGAAAGGCTATCTTGAGGCGTGAAATAAGGTGTTGGTTTATTTTACAGACACTAGTACAATTGAAGATGAGAGAGTGTGGGTGAGCCACCAGGAGAGGGTTTTGATTCCACACTGTGGAAAGGCTCGCAATGGACGGCGTTTGAGTTGGATGATGACAGACTTCACACAGTACATGAGGCATGCGGCATGCGGCTGGTGGTGGTGGTGGAGGGGGATGAAAATGGCTTCGCTGGGGCTGCCGCCTGGCTGACCGCTGTCCAATTCCGCCCTTGATCATGCGCAGCGGTGCGATCCACCGGCAGACTCCACCGGGGTGAGGTCATGGCCATGGTCTTCCCGCGATGGCCTCTGGATCTGCAACCCGCCACTCTGATGTGATGACATGCAGCGACTTAAGCCAGCTGATGACTTTAGCTGATGGTGTTGTTGATACCGTCGACGATCAAAGGGGAATCGCAGATATGGGGGACAGGTTGGAGGTCAACACGAACTATCGTGAGTTTCCTTCTCAGGGCGTAGATGAGGCACTCAAGGTGACAGTACTGAATAACGACGACGACCACCACCACCACCGACGTTGCCGCCGATTCGCCTCCCGGCCCCGTCGCCTCCGTTCCTAGTGGCCGCCCACGCAGCTCAGCGGGCGGCGGGACTCGGCGCGACTGAAAATCGGCTCAGGGTTCAACGCCACGGATGGACTGCTGTGGAGGAGGTGAGGAGTGTTCAGGGACGCTGGACCCCTGGGCGGGGGGCTTGCCTCTGCCTTGTTTTCTCTGCTCTGGTGCCCCTCTTGCTGGCTGAGGTGCCACCCATTGCCGTTGCCAGTTCGAACTGGTGGTGATTGTGAAGGAGGTCTGTCAGTCTGTGTCGCCGTGCATCCTTCCATGTGCGGCGGGCTGCCTTTTCTTGTCCTCCCCCAAGCCGGCCAATCCGCGAGGCCATAGTCGTGCAGCTTGCAGCTCTGGCAGGCGTTGCATTTTGTTTCCAGCGGGAGTGTCCCCCTTCTCCTTCCCCTCCTCCAAGCCTGAACAGAAACAGGCTCCAGGCTGCAACTGCAACTGCTGCGACCCCAAAAACCGCCCACTGCGAGAGGTACGGGATACCAACCAGCTCCTCCATAGCCCCAACTCCCAAGACCAAGGACCCCCTCACCCCTACCCAGCCAGTTAAGGCGGGACGACCTTCCATCATCCTTCGGGAACTTGCGTCCAAAAAGAGACCCTCCTCCAGCCACACCTCACCCGCCCGCTCTCACCCACCGACTGACTGCAGCTTGGAGGCAGGCAAGGCAAATATTGCAGCCAACCGACCAACAACGAACAAACCTGACATCCCATTTCGTCCCATCTCATCTCCTCCTTTTTGCTCCTTTCTCCCCTTCCATCCATCTTCTCGACTCGTCCATCAACCAGCAAACCATCCAGCATCGTTTCCCTGCTTTTTTCTTTGGATGCAAACGATAGACGGTACCGTGCCATTGCATCGCGGTCGACATCACCACCACACCAAGCATCTTCCGCCCCATTTACGTCACTCGCACCGCTGACCCTGGCATCAATTCGCAACCCGGCGACCAGTGTTGCCTTGCCAGTATCGCTCTGCCTGAGGCTTCGAATACTTGCTTTGAAGTCGCTCCGTGCGGCTGCGTTCCCCGTCCGTCAGCCACCGTCGTTGCCGCTGTAAACCAAAACCCAGTCTGTTCCCCCGTCGTTCCGCACAGCTTCCGCCGCCGAGCACGAGCCCTTCAGCCTTCCTCCGCCAGCCCGCATGGCCCGCGACGACACGTCCCATCACTAGAGTTGTAGCGACCACAGCCCGCGCTGCATCTCACCACCTCGACGACCCCCGCCGCCCACAATGGCAGCCTTCATCTCTCAACCCGACGAGGGGTACTCAGAAGATCCCCTCAACCCCAGCTTCAGCGGCGCCCAGGATGCCTCGAGCTCTGGCACCAGCGGTAGGACGCCTGCCCACGAGGAATTGACGGCCATCCTCCAGAGGCGCGTCCCCGGCTTGACCAACGATGAGAAGATGGGTGAGTATCGCGGCGAGTGTTCCTGATGGACGTGAGCTGACTGTGTGGCCCTGCAGAACTCGCCATGACAATCATCAACAATATGCCCACCTCCGGCGTCGTCGAGCTCGTCAAGCGAATGCACCCCCGCCTTTACATCGACTTCATCCAGTACCTGCCCCCGGAAGTCTGTCTTAAGATTTTAGGCTACCTCGACCCAGTTGCTCTGATCCGCGTCGCCAGCTCCTGCCGCGCGTGGCATGAGCTGGCTCTCGACAGGAAGCTGTGGGAGCAGCTGTACCACCTTGAAGGCTGGAAGGCCGACTACGAGGCGATCCAGAGACACGAGGACAGTCTCAACGAGCGGCACAAGACCTACACCCTCCACAGGGTTCGATCATCCGAGGACGGCCACACGTATAAGAAGCGGGCCATCTCCGAAGACAACGATTTGGAAATGACCGACGTCGACCGGCCATTAAAGGCGGAGGAGTCCGTGACCGGCAACAGCATTTTCGGCAGCCCCGCGTCGTCCTTCACCGGCTTTGGCAGGAACTCCGCCACGCCTACGCCCGTAGATGTCGACATGGACCGCTCCTCAGGGACCAAGAGCCGTAGTGCGGACAGGGTTGACTCCAAGGGCAAGGGCATATCATCCCCGCTCCACCAGAGTACGCTTGTTGGGGAAGATTCGCTGCCGTCAATGGTCCCGATGAACGCTCCCGATGGGCGTCCTCCCGGGGTTCCAGGGTCCAAGCTGTGGTCCTGGGACGCCTCAAGCTCCAAGTATCGTCTCAACTGGAGGTATCTTTACACGATGCGTCGGCGTCTCGAGAGGAACTGGGAGCTCGGCAGGTATTCCAACTTCCAACTTCCTCGTCCTGACCGTCCCCAAGATGGTCACACCGAGTGCATCTATACTTTGCAGTACGACAAGGAATACCTCGTCAGCGGTAGTCGGGACCGCACAATCCGCATTTGGAGCTTGATCAACTACAAGCTGTTGAGGAAACCGCTTGAGGGCCACAACGGCTCCGTTTTGTGCTTGCAGTTCGACGCGGATAAAGACGAGGACTTGATCGTGTCCGGCAGCAGTGACTCTGATGTCATTCTCTGGCGGTTCTCGACGGGGCAAATGATCCAGCGATTGTCACACGCGCACACAGAATCTGTGCTCAACGTCAAGTTCGACAAGCGCATCTTGGTGACTTGCTCAAAGGATAAGTCGATCAAGATCTTTAACCGTAGGCCACTCAAGTACGGCGACCCCGGATACGGGGATTCTGACATCATCTACACCGTCCCGACCCATGTGCGAGACTATGGATACTCCAATCCAATGGACGACCTGCCGGTCAAGCCCCCTTACACAATGATCGGTGTCTTGGACGGCCACGGGGCGGCTGTCAACGCTGTGCAGATTTGCGACAATGAAATTGTATCCGCCAGCGGAGATCGCAACATCAAAGTATGGGACTGGGCGAAGCAGGTTTGCATCCGAACCGTCGTTGGCCATAGCAAGGGCATTGCGTGCGTGCAGTACGATGGCCGAAGAATTGTTAGTGGCAGCAGCGACAACGAGGTCAAGGTGTTTGATAGGTTCACTGGTCTCGAGGTAGCCAGCCTGCGCGCTCACAGTAACCTTGTCCGAACCGTTCAGGCTGGGTTTGGCGATCTCCCGTACAGCGCCGAGGAGGACAAGCTGGAGGCGAAGAGGGTCGATCAGAAATACTTCGAGGCGGTCCAGAAGGGAGAAGTCAGTCCGTACGGTGAACAGGGCAGTAGCAGTCGCCGCAGCAGGCCTAGGAACGCCGGCAGCAGCAAGCCCGAGGATATCACAGCCTACGGCGCCAATATCCCTCCTGGAGGTGGCGGCGGCAAGTATGCCCGCATCGTGTCCGGCTCGTACGATCAGACTATCATCATCTGGCGCCGCGACAAGGAGGGTGTTTGGAAGGACGTTCACCGTTTGCGTCAAGAAGAAGGTGCGGCGGCGGCGCAGATGGCCTGGAGAGCGGCATCTGAGGCAAAGGCGCAGGCTCAAGCCAGAACAACCATCGACCAGCCCATCATTGCGACCATCACCCCCGAGTCTGCTCAATCTTTTATACACATGATTGAAATCACGGTGCCTCAAGGACCTCAGCGCTTGCGAAGTGCCCTGATGGAGTACCCTACGTTGCTTGCCTACACTTCTCACATCCAGGCCACCATTGCCAGGGAACCCAACCCGCGCACGAGGACCGAGCTGAGGCAGATTCTGCAGGCTGCGTCGTTGGAGGTCCAGTTCACGCAAGCTCGTGCTCGAGCGGCTGCGACTGCCGCTGCCACCCGCGAGGCTCAGCCGCTTGCTCCGGCCACACTCCCCTCGCTTGAACTAGACGACAGTTCGCCTGGCGGGTTTGGCTTGGCGCAGATTGACTTCTCTGCGCCCCCGTTCCGGCCAGCTGAGACTCCCGATGTTGATGTTGAAAGGCCTGCGAGACGGCACTACATTGCCCACACGACAACTGCCAACTTCGAGTCGATGCGCACCACTTCAGCGCCCACGAACATCCCTCAACGATCCGCTACGCCCGGCGCAACGCAGACACCGTCCCCAGCGGTGCAAGGGCACTTGCTCATTCAGGGCCAGGACCAGAACCAGGACCAGAACCAGGGCCAGGCTCGCTCATCGTCGCAGCCCCCAGCCAATGCGCAGCCAACACAACCCGGCGCCCCCGTGCAAACGCAGGCAACGCCCGTGCCGGTGCAGGGAGCTCAAAACCCGGTGCCGGACGCTGCTGGAGGCGCGGCGGCGCACCATCCGCACATTGCCAACGCCGACAACGGGCCGGCGCGGGTGTTCAAGCTCCAGTACGACGCCCACAGAATCATTTGTTGTAGTCAGACAACTGTCATTGTTGGGTGGGACTTTACAAATGGCGACGAGGAGCTGCGCGAAGTGGCGCGCCTCTGCCTCTTTGGATCAGTAGATTAGATGTTGGACAGCAGTCACAGTCATAGCATAATTGTATCAGGAGGGGAAGTTGACAGGTTTATCATGGCATAGTGGCGTTTGGACGGTAGATGTATAAATTCAAAGAGTAATGGACGATACGTGCTCGCAAACTGGCCCAACGCCCTCAACGCCGTGTGTTCCGTGCAAGCAATCATCACTTCTAACCCGCAGCCTCCTTGACCTTGGCACCCTCCTTCGCCGGCTCCTCGTCCACAAAGTCGGGCAGCTCATCCTGCAAGAAACTCGGCACGGTGCCCATCTCCGGCTCCAGCTCCGCCTCCATACCCAGCGCCTCCAACTCGGCATCCAGCTCCGCCTCGTCCACGTCCTCGGGCACGTCGTAGCTCCTCGCCAAGCTCTCCTGTATATCATTCCCGATATCCATCAGATCCGCCATCTCGTCCTGCAGCCGCTCAATCTTGTCAATGTCGACTTTCCCGTACTGCTTCTTGAGCTCCTTGTTGGTGGTCTTGAGGGCGTCGACGGTGGCCATTGTGTTCTTGAGGTTGTCCTGCATGGTCTGGGCCTGCTCCATGTTCCAGACCTGGGACTGCAGCTGGTCGCGCTGGCCCTCGTACATTTTGCGGCGCTGCAGGATCTTGAGGGCTTTTTGCTTGATGGCGTTCTTGCCGGGGCCGTCGCGCATTTTGGAGAGCTTGGACTGGTAGGTTTGCAGCTCGGCGGTGAGGGCGGAGAGCTTGACGTCGATTGAGGAGATGCGGTCGTCGATGTTGGTTATGGCGGAGTTGAGGGTCGGTTTGGGCCCTTTGGGGGCGGCGCCGAAGAGGCGGTTCATCGTGAGGTTTGGGGGGGTGCGAGCGCACCGGGTTGGAGGAAGTTGTCGAGGTGTGGTTCTGGTGGTGGTGGGAGGTGGAGGGTGGTGAGTGTTTGTTTTTGAAGGTGCTGGCTGCCTGGATGACGTTGCGTGGACGGCGTGGTGATGCCCGGGAGCTTGGGTGCGGTATCGATAGACCCCGCGGTGCAATCGGAGCAAAGTTTTTCCGGGGTGCCTGAAGCTGGCCCGGCCTGTGGTGAGGCTTGGCCGACCAATCCCGGCCTTCCAGCTTCATTCCGGGGACTAGGAACCGAAATCAAATACGATGTCGACTGCCGAACTCCGAGCATCGCAATTTGTGCGATTCTGAAATTTCCTGGTCACATTTCCAACCTATGCTACATCTCTGTTTTTGGATGACTCGAATAGCCGGACAAGTGTCTGTGTAGGCCAACTTATTCTGCCTATCCGGCTCCAATCGAATAACATGCCACAAAACCCCTGGCTGAGAATTCATTCATACCTGGTCTTCTCATCACAGATCTGCATTCGCAAAGAGAACATTTCGATATGCCGCCGCTCTGCAAACGCCCATTCTCAGGGGTAACCCATCCGCGTACGTGCCACGAGTCGCCCTTTTACCCGTTACCTAATGGGTTCTCCCCCGTGCCGGGCATCGCAGCAAATGAAGCACGCCAAGATTACCATGACTAAAAGGATACCTGTTGCCCTTTTCCGCGTCCCTTTTATGTGAGCAACCCTGCGAGGCTATCGTAAACTTACAAACCCTCCCTTCTTCTCCCATCTGCGTTTTTAGACTGTCCCTAAGAAAACGGCCCCCAAGGAAGAAAGACCTCCCACATGTGACTGTGAAGACGTGAATGTACTTGCGACGCAGACGTACAATGAGACGGTCGGAGCAGGAGCTGGCGCAGATGGAGGAGGAGAAGCTGTGGACGGGCCGCGAGCCGATGCTCAGCCCGCGGTTCGGGGATGATGACGAGGATGAAGAGCCCGCGGCCGCTGGCGGCTCCGAGACGGAGGCGTGTCTCGGTGACGACGAGGTGAGAGGCGCCGTCGAGGAGGGGGAGGCGTTGCCTGTATACGTGTCGATGCATCGGTAAATGCTTTCCGTGGGTGCGTGAGGTGCAGAGCATGTGCTAACCGAGGCCAGCGTCCGCCGCCTCATTGTCGCGAGCATAGACGACCCGTACACCGTCGACCAGCTCAGCGACCCGCGGCTCAATGTGCGCATCGTCCGGCCGCTCGTGGACAGACTGTACAACCCAAAGGATGTCACGATAGGTATACCTGCAACCTCACACCTGCCAAAACCCAGACACTGACACACGGCACAGTCTACTGCCTCCTCGCAAACCGCCTCTACTTCCTCCGCCAGCACGCCTCAACAATCCACCAGCCCCTCGCCAAAGCCCGCGCCGCCCTCGCCGAACTCGTCGCCACGCGCCTCTTCCGCCGCTTCCACGAAGACAACCCCGGCGCGCAGGGCCTGCTCGCCCTGTCACGCATGCTCGTCGGCGGCTTCGACCCCTTCGAGGGCGCCCCCTCGGCCGTCGAGTTCGAGGGCCGCAGCCGCCGCCAGTGGGCCGTGCAGCCGCGCCCCGGCGGCCACGAGCGCAAGCTCACGGCGCTCGAGCTCGCCATCCTCTCCGAGAGCAAAGGCTTCATCGCCTCCGCGGGCTGCCAGCGCGTCGTCACCGCCGTGTACGAGGGCCGCGTGGTCTACACGCCGCTCAGCTTCGTCGACATCCTGCCGGACCACTTCGAGCACCGGCCCATCTCGCTGTACGACCCGCGCAAGGCGCCGATACTCAACCACTACCGCCTCATCGTGCCGCGCGCGCGCAACCTCATCGAGCTGGGGCAGTTCCTGCTGCTGATGGTGCTGTACTTCATGGCGATGCTGTACCGGCGCAGCAGCAACGAGGTGTACGAGTTCCTGTTCTGCATCTACGCGGCGGGGTGGGTGCTCGACGAGGTGGCGGCCATCGTCGAGCACGGCTGGGCGGTGCACGCGCAGAACCTCTGGTCCTGGCTCGACGTGACCTTCTCGTGCATCTACGGGGCGTACGTCCTCGCGCGCGTGTACGACGTCGCGGCGGGCAGCTTCCCGGACGGCCACGGCCCGCACGTGCTGCCGCTCGCGGCGCCGATCCTGCTCACGCGCGTGGCGTTCAACATTGCGCCGGATAACATTGTGCTCATCTCGCTGCACGCGATGATGGCGGATTTTCTGTTGGTGTCGCTGCTCGCGTGCTGGTGCTTCATGGGGTTCCTGCTGGCGCTGCAGTGGCTGATCGACTCGAACGACAACCTCAACGAGACGCCGAGCTGGTTCACGATCGGCAAGTGGATGCTCTGGATCTGGTTCGGGCTCGACGGCACGGGGATCGAGGAGAGCGTGCAGTTCCACGTGCTGCTGGGCCCGGCGCTGATGATCGGGTTCGCGTTTTTGGGCAACACGCTGTTCCTGACGATCCTGGTCGCGATGCTGACGAACACGTTTTCCAAGATTGTGCGGGGCGAGGAGGCGGAGGTGCAGTTCCGGCGCGCGGTGCTGACGTTCGAGGGGGTGAGGTCGGACGCGCTGTTCATGTACCCGCCGCCGTTTAATGTCTTTGCGCTGGTGGTGCTGGCGCCGGTGCGGTTCTTCGTGGAGGCGGAGACGTTTCATCGGGTGAATGTGGCCCTTATAAGAGTGGTGAACCTGCCGACGCTGCTGCTGATCAGCCTGTGGGAGCGGCGGCTGTACTCGCGGCGGGCGCGGAGGGGGATGGCCGGGGGAGGGGGGAGGCGGCGGTGGTGGAGGTTTTCGGGGCTGAGTCCGCACGGGGATATACAGGCCGTGTTCGAGACGCGGCCGCCGCCTGATGTGGCGGATCTGATTGAGGGGCTGGATGCGCTGGAGGAGAAGGAGGAGGGCGTGAGGTTGCGGGCGGGGGTTCGGACGGCGGTGTTGGAGCATGATGAGTGAGGTCGTTTACGGGTTGTAGGACTATGTTGGTTAGATCGATGGGTCTTGGTAGAAGAATGGGCGTTTGGGGTCGGTTAGACTTGGGGTTTGAAGAGCATTTGCTGGCGTACTTCGGTCCAGTATGAAGAATTGAGTCTTCCATTTTGAAGCATGCATCAGTTCTCGGGATGTTCATCCTCGAGACCACTTATTTTGACCACCTACGCTATGGTACCTACATTTCCTCTACTGAAATCTCTACCTTTGTCCTGTACACTATTTACGGGGTTTCTACCTTTACTATTGGATGTTCCAAAGTCTAGGAGGTGTTCTCGTAAGGCTGTCTCTCATCCCTTTGTCGTAGAATGCTTGGATAAATACAAAATCGGCCGAAAGAGAGAAACATACCAGCAATACTTCAGAAGGCAGTCAGGAATGCAGAGGAAGAACGTCTTGGTTCAGCCCTATCAGATGTGCGGGTCGTCCCGCGGCGGACTTCAGACGATGGCAGCAAAACGTGGGGTCCCTGCCATGCGGATGTCACTGTTGATTTTCTGCTATTATGCAGTAAAATTGTGTGTTGATAGCCCCTCCGCTGCAGCAACAACAAAACAACGCCCAGCTGCCACGCTTCCGAGGTGCCGAGAAACACGTGGAGGTGCATCCCGTCGTCGCCAAACAAAACCAAACAGAGCCAATCTGACGTGCAGCAGCCTGCAGCACCAAGCAACCACATTACGAATCCTCCGTCACGCAGGCACCAACTGTCCCAGCCGACCACGCGAGGGTCCGCTGGTCACTGGTGGTTGGCCTCGCTGCTGTGTACTTTTTGTGCTCGCATCTGATTTTTTTGGCGGCCCCTCGTGGCCCAACCAACCTCAAAAAGTCACACCCCGCCATCGCATCGTCACTTGACCCCGCGACGCACTCAGGTCACCACCTCACCACCGTCGCGACGACATCCACGGTTTCACCTGGTACTCATCCCAACTCTTCGACAGTCACTACCGCACAGCAACACACCACAACAGAAAAAAAATGTCGCTATTCGGAAACTTCGACGTCGCGAAGCTGGCCTCCCAGCTAGGCGGCTTCACCATCCCCGACGATCCCGAGATCCAGCACGAATACGGTGAGCCTCTTCACATCACTCCCGCAGGCTCCGTCTGACCCGCCCCCAGGATCAAAGGACTTTGGCTACAGCAACCACGGCTCCCACCCCGGCGGCTACGACGGCCAGCCCCCCGCAGGCTACGCCGGCGGCCCGCAGAACGGCGCCGACGAGTACAAGCGCGAGCACCCCGACGCCTTCGGCACCGCGGATCCAGAGCGCTCCGCCGCCGCTTCCTACGGCGCGGGCGCGTTCTCTGCCGCTGCCGCCGGCACCTATGGCGCCCACGCCCCTTATCCCACGGACTCGCCCCGCCCGGAGCACCGCTACGGCGACCAGCAGAGCCCCTACCCCTCAGAGTCCCCGCGCCCCGAGCACAGGCCGTACGGGGAGAGCGCGAGCCCGTACCGCCCGCCGCCGCCGGAGCACGGCTATGAACGCCCGCCCTCGCCGCGTCTGCCGGAGGGCTGGGCCAAGAGGTTCGATGAGCGAAGCGGGCGGTGGTACTACGTCAGCCCGAACAACTCGACGCAGTGGGAGCCGCCTGCGCCGCCCTCGCCCGTCGTGTCGCCGCCGCCGCTGGAGCCGAGGTACGAGGATCGGTATGCGGGAGGAGGGCACTCGCCGCGTCCGGGGTATGGTGGGCACTCGCCTCAGCCGGGATATGGCGGGCACTCGCCGGCGGAGTACGCTGCTGGCGCTGCGGCGGCGGGCGCGGTGGCAGGTGCTGCTGCGGGGTACTACGCGGGACATAATTACGAGCAGGGCCAGCCTCATCAGCAACCGCAGTATCATGACCCGAACCGGTCGTACGGCCAGCCACGGTATGGCCAGCCCCAGGGATCGCCGTATGGGCAGCCTCAGGGATCTCCATATGGGCAGCCTCATGCATCGCCGTTTGGCCAACCTTCAGGATCGCCGTACGGTGGCGGGTCGCCCTATGGACAGCCGCAAGCTTCGCCGTACGGTCAGCCCCAGCAGCAGGCGTATGGACACCCGTACGGTCAGCAGTATGAGCAGGGCAGCGAGGAGAAGAAGAAGAAGAAGAGCAGTAGCAGCAACATGCTGCTCGGCGTGGCTGGTGGTTTGGCAGTTGGCGCCATAGGAGGAGCGCTGATTGCTAACGCTCTGGGTATGTTACGCTTCGTCTCTGGTCGAGACGAACTACTAATAATTTCGCAGACTCGGACTCCGACGAAGAGCGCCACCAGGAGCGATACGAACGAGGCAGCGACTCCGGATCCGAGCACCGCTACCGCGAGTACGAGCGCGACGAGAGCGACCGGGAGTCGTTGCGGGAGGCCAGGAGGGAGTACGAGGAGGAGCTGGCCAGCGCGCGGGGGTCGAGCTGCAGCAGCAGCGACCGGGAGTCGTTGCGTGAGGCGAGGGAGGAGTATGAGGAGGAGTTGCATGATTACTACGATGACTGAGGTGGTTAGGATGTATTGAGCGACGAAGTGATGGCTAAATCCATAATTGGTTCTTAATGCATAGAGATATCACTGCCAGCAAACTTCAAAATATGTGATTTCCGTTGCCGGCATCATTTTGAATTGAGTTATCAGGAACCCCTTATCTTGTTAGAGAACGATGATTCGCCTCACCGCAGACATCGTGGGCGCCTTCTTCCATCTCTGCGAAAGTGCAGGTCCTCCACCAGCCATCTAAGGATATCCAACCGACCAAGCAGATCTGTTGGACTTGATACATATAGAACGAAGATGAGGGGGATGGAAGTGGTTAACAACGGAATCTAGCGTGCTCTTGTTCCGTTCCCGAATGCATAGCTGCGGCGGTTTCGTTCGAGGCTCTGGCCTTGGTACTTGTTTTGTTACTTGTTTAAAATTCCCGTTGGCTTCTTTGCCCGCTGCTCAGCTTGGCCGTCTAGATCTTTTGCCTTTCGTATACCCAAAGGATGATTGGGGAAGCGCGCACAACCACACATCCAACTGCTTCTGCGTTTTTGTGACGTAGTGTTTGAGACAGAGTGGCCTGCTGCAGATGAGATCAGTCCGGGCTCCAGGCTAGGACAAAACTTGAGAAATCTCCTCGACTGATTGTGCTTGTATACTTCCATTCGCTGGCAACGATGTCGTTTTAGAGGGCTTTATGGTAAAGGCTTTTGCCCTTTGGTTGTGTAGCTGCAGTCCATTTGAAATAATTCGCTCCTTCCAGACATAACAGCAGGGATTTCGTCAAACCTCCGTCTTTTTTCCATGTAGTAATTGATTGCTTTTGGATACGTTATTGTGTAATAGGTTGGTCAAGTAGCAAGGTATGATTGCTCCCGCGGGTTCCGAAAATATCGGCCATCCTCGCCTCTAAAGAGTATGCGGGCCATTGGGTTGCGTATTCTCAAGATTGAATACGCCTCATTAGTTGGGCAATACTTCAGGGGCACTGACGGTGACGATGGACGACGAAACGAAGAGGGGGTTGAAACGCTTTGCGAGATGCTGTCGAGTCGGATACTCAAAGCTGACCATTGGATTTGAAGCAGATACACATCCGATACGAAGCTTTCGCAAATGCCAAAGAGTGCGAGGCCCTAAAGATGAAGAAACTCTCGAAAAAAAAGGGGGAAAGAAAAGATGCTGTCTTACTGCTGCTGGTTGCCTTAGTCATTGACTAGGGAGTTATCTGCGGGAATGTGACAACCCTGCATCCGCCAGCTTTTGAGCCATGTAACGGTGAACAAGATTACCCGTTTGGCGCGAGGCATATAACACCAGCCCTGACGGCAGGGATTAATCTGGTTGATCGTAAGCCGACTACTAATAGGTACGCAATTATGTTAAACACTGTTTTCTGGAAAGTGTCTGGCAGTTGCGCAAGTTATGATTGAGATATCACCTCTCATGAATGCCCTCAAAGAGCGAGTGTTCCATTAAATTACTATCTTCCAGCCAGATCTCACCCCACCTCATAGCTTCCAAACCTGCAGGTTGCGGTACCGAGCTACCAGGGGCTGCATCTGCCTGAACCCGATCCTGCCATCCCGAATCACGGGCCCAGTCGACTTATCATCATTGAACTCAAAGATGGGGAGATCGTTAATCCTAAATTTGACCTCCCTCTTATCCTTGACAACCTCAATCTTGTAAAACGCCCCCGCGGCATCAGGGACAGGAGGCAACGGATCAGCCCCCTGCGCAACCAAATGGAACCCAGGCGACTTCCTCAAGTTCGCCAGATGGAACGCCCGCTCCTCAGGCCACCGCCTCCGAAAGTACGACGCGTGCAGCGTCCGGATGTCGCTGGAGTGGTACTGCGGGTAGCTCCCGTTGCGGGGCTTGAGGCTGGGGTCGAAGATGCTGAGCTTGCCGTCGTCGGCGGCGGAGGCGGCGCCGAAGAAGAACATGGCGAGCCCGGGCTCGGCGCGCGGGGAGAACTCCCAGGTGATGCGGATGCCGTCGGGGAAGACCTCGGGCACCCAGTAGACGAAGTAGTCGTCCGGGCCGCCGGCGCCGGCGAGCTCGATGGTGCCGTTGACGGCGGTCACGTTGAGGGGCCCCTCAGGGATCCAGGTGGCGACGTCGGCGGTGGAGTTGAGCGGGTTGGAGTAGAGGAGCTGTTCGGCGGCCATGGCGGGCAGGGCGAGGGAGAGGAGGAGGGTGAGAGTGCGCATCTTGAGAGAGGAGGAGGATGTCGGGGGAGAAGGTGGTTTTGATGGAGGAGTGGAGGGCCCGGTGGAGGTTCGGCGCGGGTGCGGAGCGGGGTGGGCGGCGTGTAGTCGGATCGTCCCCGGTGCGCGGATTGCCTGCCTTTGAAGATTGAGGATGAAGACGATGGAGAAGGGTTACATTATTAGACCGGGTGGATGACGGTGCCTTTTCAATGTTTTTCTGCTCGGTGAATGTTTCCTCATTTTAAGCTCCCCCTCTTCTCTCATCTTGGCGCGCGGTCGAAAGAAGCGCATCGGAAAACTTTCGTCTTGCGCCAACGGTGTGATGCTGCACCGAGATGGACCGAGTCCGGGGTCCCCCGGCGGTGGAGACGGGGGAGGTTGACGGATGCATGAGCTAAACTCAGAGGGGCAGCTACTGCAACGTCTGCGATGTTGTGATTGTGATTGCGAAAGGTGTGATTAATCAAAGAAAATGTGATTATTTTTCAGGTGCCGCTGGGGTGTCTTTTCACCATTGCGTATCTTGATTGCTTGTCCTTCAAGCACGCGATTCGAAGCATCAGATGAGGTATGAGCGATGAGTTCGTCGGATTCCTGCGCATCATGAACCCCGGCCGCAGTCAATCGAGGTCCGGATGGCTGGTTCAAGTTCCACCAATTGAAGGGTGGAGATCAGCGTTGCATCCGGCAATGAGCCTAAATCTGACTTGGAGGTGAATCGTGGTTTGTTGTGACCCTGCAAAGCTTGCCAAGATGTGAGCATCCTTGGATATGTCCTCATCAATGGGACGAACGCGACCCCGAAGCTTCCGGTAAACTTCAGTGCTATGAGCGAGCGGAGCTGTCCGTTCGGTTGGAGCAATAGCTTCCACTTTTGTCCCACCGGAACGGAGGTAGCACGGAGAGTAGCGCAAAGGAGTTGGGAAATGCCAAGCTCCGAAATTCCCCAGAGCTCCGTCTCTCGATCATCAAATTGCCAGACTATTTCGTTCATATAAATATTCGAGAAAGATATTGGTATTATCCGCCCATTGAATCACTCGTTGATCACAGAAACGCGAGCCATTAAGAAACAAGCGTCGATGAGAAGTGGTATCTATCTTGTTAAGGAAGCGGTGGCCAATACTGTAATACAGTACGCCACCTTGCTGTGATGCGTAATATATACAAGAAGCGTTACCTATTAATCGTACATCACCACTCACCACGTATTATATGAGTCGATGATGTTATCAACATCACTCTCGTCGTCATCCTTGTTCACCATGATCCCGACTCGGGAACCAGAGAACCTCTCAGCTGGCCAACCCTGCATCGTCCACTTCGCCTCGACTACATCCCCTCCCATAATGAGAGTATGCTCCAAAAGACAACTATCGTTCTTCATCGTGGCACCGCTCAACAACCTGCTCCCCGTCCGCAGCACACACCTATCCCCAATCTCGAGGCGGTTCAAGTCAAACTTGCCGCGGGTATTAATATGCGCCACAACACTGGCATCATCCACCGCAACCCTGTCTCCGAGCGTAATCAAATCCGGCTCGGTGAACATCAGGCTCGGCTCCCCGTTCGCGAACAGCGCGCAGTCCTTGCCGATCTTGGCGCCCAACGCGCGGAAGTACAGCACCATCCAGTGCGTGCCCGTCAGCATGCCCAGCACCCCGTGCCCGCGGTAGCAGTGCCGCCGCAGCCGCTCGATCGCGAGGAAGAGCTGCCACCGCTGGCAGTACGCGGACTTGTCCCAGTCGTAGTTGCCCGGCTGCCGGCGCCCGAGGAGCAGCCACTTGGCGGCGACGACGAGCGCGAGCGCGACGACGGCGTGGAGCGTCATGAGGACGGAGATGCCCGCGAAGGAGAGCACGTAGAGCAGGATGACGGCGTACCAGTCGTTTTTGCTCTCGGCGTGGAAGATGTCGTAGACGCTGTTGATGAGCTGGATCGAGGAGATGGTGGGCACGTTCCAGTAGAAGGCGGTGAAGACGGTGATGAAGGTGGAGTAGAGGAAGATGGTGCCGGGCCCGAGGACGCGGTAGGATGCTTGGTTGAGGTAGAAGGCCCTTCCGAACGGGGACGCGTCGTTTGCGTCTGGCTGGTCGGCGGGTGTTTTTGGTTTCGGCGCGGGGGTTGGGAGGGGTTTGCGTGGCACGATGAACCTGTCGGCAGCCATGGCCTTCTCGTTGGGGAAGTACCGGCTCGCTCGCTTCTCCTGCTTGAAGCTGTCGCGGCCGGTGGTCAGGCAGACGGCGTCTCCGCCCTTGGAGCCGACGAAGGTGCCGCCTTTGGCGTACAGCTTGTTCCGTCTCGTCAACGCGCCGGAGCCCATGGTGGTCCGCTCGCCGACTTCAACCCCCGGCAGGAGACAGACGCGGTCGGCGATCATGGCGCGGTCCTGGATGATGATCTTCTCGGATCCGATGCTGTCTGATGTGATCAAGTGAGAACGCGATCCAAAGACGACGTCGTTGCCGATGTCGAGGAGGTGGTAGTCGGTGATCACGGGGCCGGTGCCGGGCCAGTACACCCGTTTGCCGATTTTCCCGCCCATCATGCGGATGGCGACTGAAGTGGCCTCGTAGTGCGAGCCAAAGAGGCCGGTGACGTCGTGAAGACGGGCACCTGGGAGGAGCTTCCTGATGAGATCCGTCCGCCAGGTCTCGATGTTGCCCCGAATTTTGTTAGGGCCGCCCCTCAGGGGGCCGAACATGGCGTCCAAGAGGAGTTTCACCAGGACGGCGAAGCCAAATACGAAGAATGGCGTAAAGGTGGATCGCAGGATCAAAGCGAGGTAGTGGTATCCCACGCGGTGGCTGTGGGTAAACCACTCGAGGATATCCCTCATCGGCGAGTGACTGCTGAGAGGCTGGTTGAGGACCATGCCGACGAGGCCGCTGAGCCACGGGGTCAGCGACAGGAGCCAACCGATGGCTAATAGAGGCATGGTCCCGAGAAGTGTGAGTAGCCAGTGCGGCTTCGGGGCCTTTGTTGGAAGCGTGTCCCTGTTCGATTCATCCGCATCATCCAGCTCCCAGCTAGACGAGTTGGGCCCTATGCAGGTGTTGGGCGGGATGACGGCCCCCGGCGCAACGATTGAAGAGAAGCCCACGGAAGCCTTCTCCCCGATGATGATGCGTCCGAGGTACATCGAAGTGTTGGCCTCCGCCGCGAACGGGCGGCAGATACACTTGGCGAGGACGACGCCGTCGCGGATGTCCAGAAGATCCCACTCCCCAAACGAGACGCCGGAAACCTTGACGTCTGTCCCAACCTTTGCTCCGAGCATGCGCAGATACAGGCACATCGTGTAGTCGGAGAATCCAAAGATGCCCTCGCCGCAGAGGCTGACGATCTTCTGAACCATCCACCAGCGGGTGTGGTAGAGGCCCCACATGGGATAGACACCTTCGCGATAGCGTCCGATGATTGCCCATTTGGCGATTATGCCCGCGAACGGCATGGTGAGTCTCATGATGATCTGCGCGAAGACGATGGAGGCCGTCAGGTTGAAGAGGCGGCCCGGGACGGATTCGTTGGTGTGCCAGAACTGGGTTTGCGCGAGGGCGACGAGGAAGACGGTCCACTGGAGAGCTCTACGCATGGGGTAGAAGACGACGAGTGGAAGGAGCTGGACTGCCATCAGCCACGGGTTTGTCGAGCTTTTCGGTTCGGTCGTGACGAGGTGGTCGTCGTTCGCTTTGGCTTCTTCGTCGTGGAAGGTCGAGGCGGAGATCTTGTCGATGTGCGCTGAGATCTCGGTGACAGTTCCGCTGTTGAAGATGAGACTGATTGGGATGCTGGTGTTTAGCTCTGACCGGAGTGCAGACATGAGTTTCCCGGCGCTGAGGGAGTCTCCTCCCAAGCTGAAGAAGTCGGTGTCCGTTGGGATATCGGAGGGGCTGCATGAGAGCACCTCTGCGAAGATCTTGGTCACCTTGCCCTCGGTCGTGCTCAACAGGCCCTGGAGCTGGTCGGCGAGAAGCTGGTTCAGGTCTTCTTGAAGTCTCGTCTCGTCGATGACTCCCTTCTCGGACTGAGGGAGCGGTAGTCTCATGGCGTGGAATTTGCTGGGAATCATGTAGTTGTGGACCTGAGTCGCCATTTCCTGCCGAACATGGTCCAAGAATTCGACACTCAAGGGCTCTAACCCGGGAGTCTTGGGTGCGAGGAAGGCCTCGGCCATGCCGAGTCTCGAGTCGAAGCGGAGATAGCCCTCAAAGCTCGCTGGCGTGATGGAGCACAAACAAGCAGCTAGCTCGTCAGGATCGATGATGCACAGGCGAGAAGATATTGGCACGTCGAGGGAGGTATCTGGCGGAGGGCAGTCGGCTTCCCAGTGTCTCTCGATGTAAGGCGTTGCGTCTGTCAGCTCTGGCAGTTCCAGCCTTTCAGCCAACTTGATTCGCAAGATCTTGTTGTTCTTCTTCGGAAGATCCTCCATGTACACAATGCAGACGGGCCACTTCGCCTGCTGCAGTGATTGCTTGAGTGCGTTCTGGATTGTCTTCAAGTCGACTCGCGGCCTATCCACGGCGGGGACGATGGCGACTCCCACGACCTCCTGAAGAACATCATGAGTTGCAGAAAACGCGAGCACCTGTGAGATGCGTCCTGAAATTGGCGTCCCGAAAGCCATTGATGCCGCCATGATGGCATTCTCAACCTCAAAAGGCGAGATCAGCTCTCCGCCGCGGTTGATAACCTCCTTGCTCCTACCTGTGATGTATAGATACCCCTCATCATCCATGTATCCCAGGTCGCCAGTATCGAACCAACCATTTTCGTTGAAAGGCGACTTGTCGAAAGATCCGTCCGGTTGGAGGTATCCCGAAAACACCGGCTCTCCTCGGACGCAAATTCTTCCCACTTCCCCGGGTGCTGCACGTTCGTCGGAGTAGTCGAGGATGGTCAGGTCCGGCCCCGTGCTGATTCCTGATGTTCCTGGGCGGTCTAAGATGTAGTCTAGTGGAGGCGTCGAGATCGGCATGCACCTAGTGTTGCGTCAGTTGCGATAGCTTGGCGCGAGAAGGAGCTAGACTTACTCAGTCATTCCGTAGCTCGGCAACACGACGCAGTTGAACGTTTCCCTCAGTTGGCACGCGAGCGATGGAAGCAAACCACCCGCCGCGTTGCATGCGAGCCGGATCTTGCTGTTCTGCAAGGCCGTCGGCCGCGACTCTGCCCCCGCCAGAATGACCGAGTGCATGGACGGCGACGCGTAGTACCACGTCGGCTGGATCTCCTCGTTCATATCCCAAAAGAGACCTGGGTCAAAGGCGGGGCAGCATATCGTCGAGCCACCGGAGAAAATGGGCGCGAAGATGTTTCTCACCAAGCCGCCACTGCAGTGCCCAATTAGCTGGAGCCAAAAAGTCTGTGACTGATTTTCAGTCTCACTTACACGTGGAACAGTGGCATCATGTTGAGACAGATGTCCGCGGACGTCAGACCCCACGAGTCCACCACGAAAGAAATGCCTGCAATCATGGAGTGTGTCGTCAAAGGGACCACCTTCTTCGTCCCTGATGTTCCGCTGGTGAAAAGAATCAACGCGACCTCATCGGCCTTGTTGGGTCTCGGAGTGTCTGAGATCGGCAGAGGGGAGCCTGTCATTGTTTGAAGAGTGATGTCGTCGCCCTGATTCCACTCGGCAAAGACGACCTGAATACCGGACTTGGAGACCCAAGCACTGTTTAAATCCAGCTTCTTGTAATCCTCTGGCGTGGTGATGATGCACCGCGCACCGGCCTGGAGAACATCGGCCTGGAACTGCTCCGGGCCCACCGCGGGGTTGATGGGCGCAGCGGTGTAGTACGTCGCAACGGCCATGACCGCCGCAGCTAAGAGCGGCCCATTCGGAAGCGCGATGGCGACAATCGGGTTCCGTGTGCCATGTTCAAGGGGTAATCGGAAGCATTCGACAAAGTTCCTGAGACCGCGGTGGGTGATGTAGTTGGCGGGGCTCGTCGACCGCAGCGCTGGCCTGTCGTCCCGTCCGATGAACTGCCCGAAGGAGTGATACGACTCCTTCACCAATCTCCTCGTCTTTTCAATGAGCCATTTCGAGTCCTTGTCGGGAGTTGTTTTGGTACCTTCGGGAAGGCATCTTGTGAGTCTGGTATGGCAGTCGATGAGAGGCAGTGGTGGCCAGGAGCCAGGTATCTCAGTCAAGAGTGTGTACAAGAGGTAGAGGGGCCTCAGCGAGGGCCCTTTGGGTTCGAAGAGAGATCGGAGGATTTCCTCGCGGTCGAAATTCGAGGATTGTAAGGAAAGGAATCGTTTATCGGTCTTGATGAGGTCGGGGGTCAACTGGTAAAGAGCGTCGACTAGACCCCTCAGTTCGTCTTGGTTCGTGAGTGTCATCATGAAAGATCGTCGTATTGAAACCGGCTATTTTGACAAGAAGCCCTCTAAAGTTGAGGCAGTTCGTCAAGAAAAAACGAGTGGAAGCCTCGAAGAACCTAATCTGAGGCGGCTTGGTGAAAGCTGTCGGTCTCGATAGAACCACTTCACTGCAAGTAAATGCGATGCGCAAGAAACGAATGTGGATGCATATAACAACCTGGTAAGGACCGTGGTGATGTGCTCGAAGAGCGCACCATTGAAGAAAAGCCCCCGAGATGCTTGTGCAAGAGGAAGAAGGACAGAAATCATCAATTCTGGCGAGACGCATGACGGACTCATTGCAGGACTTACACAAAAGGGAAACCGCATGGATGCCGTGCATCTGCCGTCCAGACGCCGAGCCTGGAACAGCCCATAGTGCAGCCATTGGGACCCGATAGAGGCAAGGAGGAAAGGTCTAGCGAGTGTCTCTTCTTCCCTAATCGCGAAATCTCCCCCGAAGCTTGCAGCTTCGAAAAGCAAGCTTAACATGAATAAAGCCGCGCCATGCTTGCTGCCGTTCCTGACCCTTGGGATAAACTATCGTCGACGGGAGGAAGCTTGGCTGCATCGGGTGGCTCTAGCGTCAAACTTGCGTGTTAAGGGATGGGGCTGCAGACGGGAGATGAGTGGTTTTGCTGTTGGTTGCCATGTGGCTTGGTAGCTGAATGCGTCTGCAAAGACGAATCAAAGTGTTAGATCGGTACTATCCGACGTGCTAAGAGACAAGATGGTTAGTTGTGTTGCCAAGGTAGCGTGGTTCTGGTCTCCCTGCCCCTTATCTCCCCACGCCAAGGGTTTGGCATTTCTTCTCGAATGTGTGTGTATGCCACGCGATGAGGGCAAGGGATGGCATATCGAAACCAACAGAGCCGATCAATGACTTGGGTATACTTTTTCCTGTGCTCTAGTAACGATGCATCGTTCGAGTACGACATGCTTCGGACTTAAACTTGCCCTTCGACGCCAGCGGAAAGCCGTTCCCGAGAAAAGCAAATATTTAGGTCCACCATCGCATGATCTGTATGTATCAGTTGCATGTGCATTCGTCAACGATCCCTTACGTCTGGTGTTTAATTTCACGATCATGTCTGATTGCGATGTTCTATGCTCATCGTCTCAATGACGCTTGACCAACAATATTCCCACTTCATAAGGATTTATAGATAATGTGAGCCGCTGTAGCAGCAACAACCTCTGTTGGATGCAAGTTAGTTCTCACTGATCCGGTTCTCTCGGATTGTTTGGCGTGCCGAATTTATTCACAGGGTTCATTCCATACAATCATCCTACGACCACATCCTCATCCTTTGATACCCATAGACGTGGTCCCGGGAATGTGGAATGTGGTATCCCACCGGCAGCGCTACCGCCGTCGTCATATGTAACTGAAGACGTCCCCTGCAAAGCTCTGTTCAACAACAGACGAACAGGCCTTCTACGCCCCTGACATGAATCGTGTGCTGCGAGCCTATAGAGGAATCCGCTCCGGGACTGTAGCTAAACTTTATTTCAGTCTCAGACAAATTGGAAACCCATCCCACCGGTCACCGGCGGACTCGAACAGAGAGAGAATATGGGACTGTGCCCCCAAATGATTGGACAGTACACCTTTCAACGGCCAGTTTGCGATACCGAACGGGCCGCTGCGATACCCTTTCAATATCGTTCATCATCTCGAATGAATCGTCATAACAGCATCCCGGAAGCTTCGTCGCAACTGTCAGCAGGGTGCAGATGGCCCGAACGAATGAGAAACCAGGAGAGATGAATCTACAATTTAGACTGCCGATGGGATATCGCGTCGATGCCTTTATAAAACCAAGAATGATCTGCAAGTTGTTGGTTCGGATGATTTCTTGGTCCCTCGTGAACAATTGCCCAGCAGGTCTCTTCCGTCTTCATTCGTTCAGATCGTCCGATCTATTCGCTCTTTTCCTATTCAATTCGCTGTAACATATCACGGAGACTATTTTCAAAATGTCGCTCTCTTTCATTTCCACCTTGTCCCTCCTTCTCTCTGCGGCTGGTGCCGCTAACGCTGCCAAGCAGTGTCCCATCCAATTCGAGGGCCGAGTGCCGACCAACTTCACCCCCACCGACTTCGATACGTCAGCAAGTCCCTTCAACAACGGATTTGTCTTCGGCAAGGGCCTGAAGGCCAGCGATGTTGTGACCATTCCGACTGGCCTTAACTCCCTCGTGAGTTACTGTCGATGCTTGAACATAGGCAGTATCCCCGTTACTAATTACCCATACAGTTCGATGCGAACTTCAGCAAGCCCTTCGAAGTCAACATCGATGACCGCTCCATCTTTGCACCGACTGAGACCAACGTGCAAACGGGTTTCCGCCGTGCGGAGATGCTGCCCATGAGCAACAATGGCACAGACCCGTCCACCGCCGGAATCAAGACAGTTCATTGGAGTATGATGAAGGACCCGAAGAAGCCCCTCAACCTCACGCACGAGTACCAAATGGTCTTCCTCGAAAGTTCCATCTTCAGCTCGAACCAGTACGCGCTCAAATACGGAGACCTCATCGGCATCCACCCCGCGGACCCTGATGTCTTGGTTCTCTTCGGCAACTCCAACACCAAGCCCTTCCAGCCCGAGCTCTTCAGGACCAAGTTCACCGACGGGGTCTTCCACAACTTTGCGCTGACCCTGGACTTTACCAAGAAGTAAGCAAAGATAATTCCACTTTAGATGCCCATGCTGACATTGTCTTGAAGCATGACCCAGATCTACTACTCCCAGGGCAGCGCCCCCCTTGTTGCTCAGGGCAAGCCGGTTGAGAACGATATTTCTGGCCAGGGACAGTTTCACTTTGGCGTCCTGAAGAAGTCAATCAACGGCACTGGCGACACTACCAAGACTGGTTTCCACGAGTCTGGCATCAACGAGGGTATCATCTTCGGAGGTATCTTCGAGGAGGACAGCGCTGACGGCTGCGTGTCTCTTTCCCCTTAACTTGACGACGCATGGCAGCAATGTCTACAAGGACCTAAACTTTTCTTCAGCCGGATCGTGAGAAATATAGACCCCATAGAATAAAGCATGGCAAACCCCACATCCGGAAACAGAATATCGACGGTCAGTAATTAAGGTATCTAAATGTGCTGTACGCCGATATAGGAAAGTACACGACTAGTTAGATACATGACTCCTGTATCTCTTCCTTCCAATTACCGATCCTCAAATCTTCCACTTCAACTCCTCCAGCACCTCCTTCGCAGCTCTCTGGCCCGCGAAAACCGCTCCCTCCATGTAGCCATAGTGCTTTGTCGATGTCTCCGTGCCAGCCCAATGAATAGCACCGACAGGTTTCCTGACCCATTCGCCCAGCAACGTCCACATTCCCGGTGCAGGAGTCGCCATCGGACATCCTGTGGCCCACTCATCCTCCATCATGGTGTGAAAAAAGAAATCTTCAGGATCCAAGGCCTCCTGTCCAAATGCAGAAGCGAACCCCGCCAGGGCCACCTGCCGCCTTTGCTCCTTGCTGAAGCTGATGAACTCCCTCGCCTTGCTACCGACAATGAACCCGGTGAGTTTGGGAGGGTATCCCGACTCTGGTGTCGCATCGTATGTAACACTCAAAAACCCTGTCGGATTCGTGCTCTCTCCTGTCAACCCTTTGTCTTTCCAGAAAGCCGTTTTGTAAGTTGCAAAGACCTTCATATAGGCCCCCATTGGCGTATGCTGAAGCAATGTAATCTTTTCGACCGGCAGTCTCGGTTCGAAATCAATCTTGAGGATGTGTGGGGGCGGAATCGCCGAGATGATCCTCCTGGTCTGATACTCCCCTTTCGATGTCCGCACCGTCGCACCGCTCTCCGTGTAAGAAACCGACCGAACTGGCTCTTGCAGTCGGACCAGATCATCACCAATATAACCCCTCAGCTTCTCTGCGATCAGCTGGCCACCGCCTTTCACAAAATGCTCCTGTGCTCCTCCCTCCACCCCACACGCCGAGGTAAAATTCACAAGCCCCTTGAAGAAGAACATGGCATGTAGCATGGAGATGCATGATGTGTTTGCCGCAATGGTTGACTCGAAGGCCATGTTGCCCATGTCAATCGTCGCCTGCGTCCAGGCCTTCTTCTTCATCCACTCATGCACAGTCATCCGGTCCAGAGCCTCCGCATTCGGCGTCTTCCATGGCTCCTCCAAGTCGACGGTGTCGCAGAGCTTTTCAAATTTCCGGACAAACATTCCAATATCGAGAACCTCCCACGGCCGCATGGGAGGAATCAAGCCGCTGTAGCTGCGCGCCTTTCCCCGGTACGCCAGCACGATCTTGCCCTCGGTTGGGTGTTTGAAAACGGGCACGCCGAATTCTTTGGCGAGCCCGTACATCAGGTCCTGCTTGTGCCCGAGGAATGTCGCCCCAACGTCCCAGTAGTCGCCATTCTCGAGGTGCACCGTCTTTGCGCGTCCGCCGACGCGGTCGCGCGCTTCGAGGACAAGGACCCTCTTTCCCGAGTCCTTCAGGAGCCGTGCGGCTGCGAGGCCAGAGTATCCCGCGCCAATGATGATGCAGTCATACGTCGTGGCACCGTCCGTCGATGGGCCGTCCATGATGTTGAGGTTGCGGTCTTATGTCTGGTCTTGTAAGAGAGTAGGGCGGAGTGCAGACAACGGGAAACGTCTGATAGAGTTCAGGTCGGGCGTTCCCGTCTTGATAAAAAGGAGTTCGCGGGATGCCCTTTTGCTTGGACCTGTCAACGGGAACGAGTCTAGTGCTGACGGGAAATTTGGAGGGAAGTCAGCCACGTCTCGGTCGGGGCCAATCATCAACGCCTCGCAATCTTAGACGGGCCAAAGCGACAGTGTCTGGCTCGCGTTGAGACTAGCGTGTTGCTGTCGGCTTGGGCGGTCCGTGGTCTCAGTGGCTGCGAGACGCCAAGGCGCGATGAGTAGTACTCGTCTGGCTACGTGCGTCAACTGGATGTTGGATGTCATTGTGCTCTTTTA